TAGAGGAGTCCATCAGTATATGAACTTAATAACTAGATTGACAACTTACATATTAAATTAAATGGGTCAATACAATGAATACAAACTAACAAAACATTAGGTACCGTTTGGGGTGTTGGCTTTTTGGACCCAATCACATTACTCTCTCTACTTTTCTATACGTCTTTTCATAAAAGCCAAAAAGCCAGTGGAAGTCTGGGACATCCGAGGTGGCATGGGGGCAACCCTAAAATTAGTGATCTTTTTTCTTTTTTCTTTTTTTTGATAAATAAGCAAACTTCATTAGAAAAGCATCAAGGCGATGCAACTAATACAAAACACTCGCAAAAGGGCCACCAAGACTAACTAAGCAAATCCTCTACAAAATCTACAAAAACCAAAACATCGGGATCAACCGAACCCGTAACCCAACTATGCAATACCAACAAAAGCCAATTCTCTAACCAATAAACTGAATGGCACACGTCTTGGAAGACACGCCTATTGCGCTCCAACCAAATCAACCAAAGCAAACAATGGGCAGCCAGAGACGCCTAAAATTAGTGATCTTACTTATCAAATATTAAAATAAAATAAAAATAATAATCAATTAGATATTCATTATCTGCACATGAACATGGTAGAAAACCAATGGCTTTGGAGAATCAACCTTTGAAGCAATATTTGATTTCCTTGGAACTGACATTACCAGCATCATCAATATAGAAATATCTACGAATGAGAACCAGAAAACAGAACAATCTCAAACAAGAATTGAAGTAATCAGAATCAAAGCAAAGAATGCCCACCTATCTAAACAGCATATTGAACCTGTACTAGCCCTGTCGAGAGTTCGTTTGACTGCTGATTTCCAGTTAAACGGAAATGAGCCACCCTGGCAAGAAAATAAGGCACCACTCAACAAGACAGGACAGAAGAAGAAAACCTGAGAAGTGGCTGCAAACAAAAGCTTACCCAACCAAAACTCCTAGACAAGTCATTTCCTGTACCAAGTGGAATAATTGCTGTTGGCGGAACTGGTTCCCGCCCTTGTTTATGAAGCTCTCCCAGGCTTCCCAAGACCCAACCAACCGTGCCATCACCTCCTACAACCTGCCAAACCAACCTAGTAATCCACGATTTCTCATGTAAAAATTCAAGACAAAAGTTCATGCAAAAAGTTAGCATATATGTCTTCGCATTGACTATTACCATTTACATAGAGGAAATACAATTAAAATAATACAGCTTAATTATTAGTAAGCTGTTACATAAGAAAGAAACTGAACAACTCATTTGGCCATATGCATACCACAACCCTTAGCTTTTCACGAGTCTCTTTGGCACATGAGTCCCCAATATCAGCCAACATCTCTAGGCAACCCAATCCATATTGAAGAAATTCATGAGGCTTCACAAATCAAAGGTCAAAAACCTAGCATAATGAAGAACCAAAAAAATTCACAGTTACAGTTGTCATCAAAATTAAACCATGGTGTTTTATTGAAACAACTGAGACTTCTGTTGAGTTGAGTTGATGTTTCAAGAGGAAAAATAAAAGAAACATATACATGAGAAATAGCTTATATTGGTGTCAGTAAGCCTTCAACGCCTGAACCACATAACCATCCAGAAGAGCAAATATGTAGACAAGAAGACTCCATCTAAGCCCAATGGCAATAGCTTTATTTGGACCATCAAATAGTGCTAGTTGTCGGTGACAATAGTCGAGTGTTTTTATGTTGTTTTATTGAGATTTTTGTTGTCATATTACTGTTTTAATGTAAATATGTGCTAAGGTGGAAGGGTTTTGTTATGTTCCCAAATCCTATTCATTGTATTCTCTTTTTTCTTCTTTTCTTTCTATTTTAACCCTAACCCTAATCCCTCACACTTTGGACTTCGACTTGGTATCACAGCGATTTAATCATGCCCTATTAACCGTTATTGGACTCCGAAAACCATCGCAAGGTAACAATGGCGTGCTAACATCATCATTTGCACAATAACGCCAATGTGCCATCAGTATCCGTACGGATGTTGTGGTCAGGCAAACAAGCAATTTGATTTGTCTTGCCCTCCTGGTAATTACAAGGTTGTTAAAATCGGAGTCCTACATTGGATCGTTGGAGAAGTTTACAAAATTGTATTGTAGAATTGGATCGAGGATTGTAAAATTCTACCGAAACAAACAAATTACAGAGTAAAATTAATTTAAACAAATATTTCTTAAAAAGTATACACAAAATTAGCCTAATTATACTAAAAAGAAGTGAAGATATTTTAAAAATATAATACTCCATATAAAATGTAAATGTAATGTTATACAATAGAAAACTCGATGGTAAAAGTTTTGCATTTGGTCAAAAAATAAGGTTTGTTGTTAGTGTCCCATGTGGTGCAGGTTCAAGTCACGAAAATAGCCTCTTCAAAAATTGTGGTAAAGTTGCATACATCTTGCCCCCTATAGGAACTTATACTGCTTGCTTGATGTACTCTTAGAAAGAAACTATGTCAAATCTCAAGCTAAAAGTGGTGTTATTGAAATTGTTTCTTTGTTTTACAGAGAGGCTTTGTTGGGGTTCATGTGAATGATAGTCTTCTAGAAATTTTTGGCCTAAAACAAGGATGGCATGCTTCCTTTGTTTTGTCTGACCTTATTTCTGCTAAACACATTGCCCAGGTACTGCATGTTGAAATTTTCTTTTATTCAAGCAGGTTGCATATATACTAAACATGGCAGAAAATATATTAAGTTCTAATAGAAAAAGATAAGAGTAAGGAAGCAATCTCTGAAAACTTATTCTTCATTTTCTTCTTCCGGATCCTCAATATTGAACTGGCTGTATTTATAAACTATGAATAAACTAGCAGACATACTATATAGTCCAAATTCCCATATAACAAAAAAATTTCATTATTTTTGGTGGTTTGTGGATGTTATATTCATATACATAGAAAATGAAAATATGTAAAAAACATATTTCTTTGTTGTATCAATAGTGTATTCGTATCCTGATTTTTGGAAAAAAACATATGCTTCTTAGGAGGAATATATACAACATTGAAAATTAAGGGAAATAATATTAAGAAACTGAAATTTCTATACTTTGGGTATTTATAGACTTTGTAGTAACTCTAAGAGCACCTCTAACACCTAATAGGCACATTTTGTGTAGCAAAAATATATAAAAGTGAATTTTGTATTTTGCCTAGTTTGTATTTCAACAACACTTTTTTACTCCTGAGATTATGTTGTCTAGCCTCCAAGGTTGCCCACATGAGCCAGCATAGGAGGATGAGGTAGAGACTCCATTTTTGTGTTGAGGCTAGACAAAATGTCTAAAATGCTCTAAATAACTCTCCTGTTGGAGATGTTTTAACAAGCAATTTCTACTAAATTCAAGTGCTTGATGCCTAACTTTTTCTATTTGTGGAATGTTGAAATAAAATGGGTAATTAATTAAAAAATATTTACCCCCTCGTCAAGTTGACACCATATTCTTATAGAGGTTGCAAAGCATGTACCAAGACTTTTGGTTATACTTAAAAAGCTTGTCATGTTTCACATTTGTCCTCATTTGGGCATAGAGTAGTCTGTTTCTCTATTGAAATTAGATATTTCCTTTCATCTGATCACGTCACCTTCTAGAGTTTAATGTGTCACCCACAATCCTGAAAGTTAGTATGCCACAATTTAACTACTGAACCAGTGGCCCTTTATAATTGCCCCCAAAGAGTAACGAGGATATTCCCATGTAGTTGTGAACATCATTGTTAACAAAACTTTGTTATTACTACTCCACAACTATGATACTCAAATTTTAATGAAGTCTATCAACATCTTGTAGGCTTCAGCGATATGATTTGAGCTTAGACGTGGAGAGTGGGAAAAAGCTTATTTGCAAATGGATGGGGAGCCATGGAAACAACCAATGAATAAGGATTACTCTACATTTGTGGAAATTAAGAGAGTGCCATTTCAATCAGTTATGGTCAATGGGGGAGTATTTTCAACACCTTTATCCAATCAAGTTCCCTAGCCTGGATCATTGGAAATTACTCTTTACAATTCAGAGTCCATGTAAATCATATTCTTATTCGAACAAACGGCTTGTAATTTATATTTATGTGATTATAGTTATTAGCACCGGGTAATTGTTGTATCAAGTTGTAGTCTTAGTCAATCCATTGTGAACAACTAGCCTAAGAATTATTATTGAGAAATTTAGTTATCAGAGTTGCTAGATTATAATTTTCGAAAATGTTTAGTCAAAAGTCTCTCGTTAGCTTCTTAATACAAAAGTTAACATATCCTTTTGCCCCAGGTGATGGCTAGGAGGATGGGTGGCTATGGGACCGTTTCTGGCCCCCGACATTGGTACGAGAGGCTCCCCTCAGAGGTCCACACTATCGTTGATTATGCCGGCTTCTGGCCTTTCTACCCAGGGTTCATACAGATGAGGGTTGAACCACTGCTATACGGGGCTTTGGTGGAGAGGTGGTGGGATACCACCAATTACTTCCATTTCTTATCGATTAGGGAGCTAACTCTGACCCTGTATGACTTTTCAGTGCTCACAGGCTTGCGGGTAGGGGTTGGCGACCCAATCTCATTCGATCCTGACAGGGCACATTGGAGAATTGCACAACTTCATCTTCTTAGTTCACATCATAGCATAATGTTCAGAAAATATTTTATATTAAACATAGTTTTACTGAGTTATTACTCACAGATAGTTGCACAGATAGCTTGATAGCAACCAATGGATCAACAGCTCACGACGTGTGACCTACACAAACATAACAGATACACATACTGAAACACCTATTCAAAGAGGGACAACTGTAGACACCCCATTTTTGACCGCCCACATGACTTGGGCGCTTTATCACTACAAGAAATTTCACTTTTGGCGACTAAATTTTTAGTCGCCAAAAGTACGATTTTAATCATAGAAAATTTTGCCCAACTAAATATTTTGGTTGCTGGATTGGTCGCGGGAAGGTTGTTAGGGAAGGTATTGGCGACTAAAAAATATTTAGTCGCCAAAAGTCCTATAAATGGCGACTGATATTTTTAGTCGCCAAAAATAATATTTTAGTCGTCAAAAATCTTATTTTCTGCTACTAAAACTTTGGTCGTCAAAACTTGAAGTATTTACGGCGACCAAAGTTTTAGTCGCCAAAGGGTTTTTTTTTTCGTCTTAATTTTTTTTTTTTTAGCTACTAAATTCTTAGTCGCCTAAAGTTTGCTTTTATTTTAGCTACTAAATATTTAGTAGCTAAAAATAGGCTACTAAATATTTAGTAGCCAAATTTTTTTTTCCATTTTATTTTTATTTTTAGCTATTAACTATTTAGTCGCTAAAAATATTTACTTCATTTTTGGCTACTAATTGTTTAGTCGCCAAAAATATGATTTGATTTTATTTTTTAATTAATTTGTCCACAACTTGTATGTATTCCATGCAACTTGTATCATATATATAAATAAAACAATACATATATTATCAATCATTCCGCAATTTGCATCCATTTCAACTTCTAACCATCCAAAAAAGAATAACTTTTAATGTCAAATTTCATACAAATTAAGTATATTCCAACCTAAAATAATAATATTATTTCATACAAAACAGAGAATCATACCAAAACATGTCCTCCGTACACAAATATATTCACTACCATGCCAAATATATTCCGTAAGGAAGGCATCTTTATTGTTGTAAAGTGAGTTGATAATGATGTTCATGATGTTCATAAGCCGAGACACCTCAGCCTGAAATTCAAAATTCTCTGCATTACTGTGGAGTGATCTCTTCGACAAGTTTTCCTAAACCACATAATGACAAAACACGTTAGAAGAAGAAGAAAAAAAAAAAAAGAGAAGAAAAATGGAGAGATGGAGACATAGAGAGAGGAAGGTAAAGAATTAGAAAACTCCAGTTCTCAAAGGAAAAATGTCCATACCTTCCAACAACAAATTTGGCATTTGAAATATAAGCGAGGGTCACTTTCAATGATCAGAAACACTAAGAAATAAAGGTTGTTCACATACCATACCAAAATACACAAAAGGGAAATACCAAAAACCTCTTAAATTATGACATATCATCCATTGATACGTTAGTATACTAATTGGTATATATAACATTATTTCAGGAAGAAAAAAAGATAACATATGGAGCTACTACCCAATTGTTTTTGAAACAATTATGAAGTATATCTGTTATAAGATTTTCTATCTATGTGATAAAATAAAAAAATAATTTATTTTATTTTTTGTGTATTAATGTGTGTTGGTTCATTAATTACATATGGCTGATGGCATTGGAATATTGGACATGCAAATTAGTTGGCACAAAGCTTATTCTTAGAAGATGGAAAGCCTACACTTTTCTTGGTTGATGGCTTGGGAAATGAAAAGACATGGAG